GGTTCTAAGTGATAGTCATCAACTTATTAAGAAAACTCACTGGAGTATGTGAGTCATATGCAACATCTCATGGCTTGTTATATAATGTTAAAAAGTCGGAGTTTATGATCTTTGGAGCCGCCGGTAGGAAGAGTCCTACGTGTGCACTTCCTGTACTACTTAATGGTTCTCCGTTAAAAAGGGTAAGCCACTTTAAATACTTGGGACACTATGTTACCGACGACCTCAAGGATGACCTGGATATACAGCGCGAACGGAGAGCATTCTCGGTGAGAGCAAACATGCTTGCCCGCAGGTTCGCCAGATGTACGGCTGCAGTTAAGATAACATTGATTAAAGCTTACTGCACACCAATGTACGCTAGCGCTCTGTGGAAGACCTACACTCAATGCTCTCGGAATGCTCTGTGCGTGCAATACAACAACGTCTTCAGGACGCTGTTGGGGCTGCCAGGTTTCTGCAGTGCCTCAGTCATGTTCACTGACGCGCGCGTAGATAGTTTCACGGCTGTTGTACGTAAAAAGTCGGCGTCGCTACTGAAGAGAGTACGTGACAGCCCCGATAGCCTCATGAAGACAGTTGCTGTTAGGAACGAGTGCCCAATTATACGACACTTAATAAATAACACAAAGTCCCTGGTAAAATATAAGTCTACATAGATAATTATGTTAATATTTAAAATAATTATTTAAATTAAGCATTGATATTTAAATGAAAAAAAAAAAAAATCTCAAAAAAAGTCACTAACTAACCAATTCGTTTTCCCAAAGATTTTGTTCGTATTTATTTAGTTCAATTTCTCACTTTTTGCCATTTTTAGTCAAAAATTAAAGAGACATATGAAATAACATTGATAATTATCAGATTCATAGCGGATATTTATCAAAGAAAACAAATATCTTGATAAATCTCGATACCTGCATAAATCTGAGTAGTTTCATTGATTGACTGGTATTTGAAATTAACTCCGTGTAACGTTTCAGATGAAGCGCAAATTGCAAAATCTTCAGCCAGCCACCGAAATCTAAAGACAAAATATGTTGCAACTTAGGGAGTCATCACACTTTCTTTTTACTGCGGCTTAGGTTTGATCCCACAGACATATATCTAGATAGACGCCGCAACTACAGTAATTTGTATGAAAACCAAGCGTGCCACATTTTTTGTACCCACTACACAGAAAAAAAGGAATTCTACTAATAAGAAAGAGCAATTTCTCAAAGTACTTGCTAATTCTGAAAAATATTTATTAAAAGTAATAAAATATTGTCATTACAAAAATACTGCTTATCTTTTTCTAATACAATTTTACTCTTAACTTTATTCTAACTTTTAGACAAATACGTTCACTTCAAGATTTTATTTCATTTGTAATCAATTAATTGGACATTACTTACATCAAAAAAATTTTACCTTTTACATCAAATTTAAATAATCTTAAATTAATTCAAAATTTCTTGGATGTATTTTAACAAAATATATTCTTAAACAAAAAAGAAGTAGTTTGCTATTTAGATTAATATTCTAAATTCTAGAGTATATTTTTAAAGCAACATTTCGTTGCGTTTTCATAGTCAATGTTGTCGTGACATGTCGCCGAAGGCGCACGCGGCAACGATTACTTTTACTTGTGCTTGTAATCATAAAAATCATAAACAGTCATTTGTCCAAAGAAACAATACGTATTATCTCTAGTTTGTTAGGGTGTTATTTGTAGTCATAATTTAAGAAATTTGGTTTCAGCATGATATCAAACTACACTTGTAACAAGCACAACTTTAACTTGCAATTAGTTCCATCACGCCACTGGTAGATGGCATCAGTTGTACTCTGAAACGCGCTATCGCTTTGTTAACTTCAATACTATAAGTCCTCTCATATATTATGAATTGTTAGTGCTTTCTACCGCTGTAGCCTTATACAGCATTAAATGGTACTCAAGTAATTGAGAAGAGTCGGTCCTATTTCTGCTACTTTAAGGGCCGTATTCTAGAACTCTATTCAATGCTCAAGTCAAGATTGCACTGGAAATGCGACCCTAATGGCAGGGACTTGAGTATGATTTCGAGTGCTTTGAGGGTCGTATTCCAAAACTGTACTCAATGCTCAAGTCAGGATTTGAGCAGACTTGAGTATAATTTCAAGCACTGAAAATATATCCTAATGGCAAGGACTTGAGTATGATTTTCATTGCTCACTGCAATACTCAAATCAGAACTTGAGTATTGAGTAGAGTTTTGGAATACGACCCTAAATCATACTCAAGTCCTGACTTGAGCATTGAGTAGAGTTTTGGAATACGACCCTAAATCATACTCAAGTCCTGACTTGAGCATTGAGTAGAGTTTTGGAATACGACCCTAAGATTTGGCACTGAACTGTGTGCTTTCACGCCAGTAAGACATACTGTTGGGTCCATAACCCTGTATATTTATCCTTTTTGATATTAGAAAACATAAATCTTCAGTCAAATAATTCAACACCTCTCAATTTTTCATTCTTTTTTTTTTCAGTCAAAATCGGACATTTCTAATAACTAATAAATATTTTGTTGAATCTAGAGTAGCTTTGGGGCTTGAAGTAAATTAATTTGCTCTTGGATTAAATATTTCTGTCTTATAACTAAAATACGCTTTGGAGCATTGACTTACAAATAAATGGACGACGGGTCTAATACAAAAACCACGAAAAAAATATCCCAAGTCAACCTATTTAAACGTAGTGACAAGTCAAGCAATATGAAAAAGCTAAAACGTTGAATTTAAATTGTAATGTCATCGCAGTACTGCCTAATTTTGCTTGCTTCGCTGTCAGTCGAACAAACGAAGACTAGAGCGTGAATGACGCTCTGTATACGATTTTAACGCCCTATAAGTTCGGACACTTTTTAGCGCGGACCCGACGTCCATATAATTGTAAGTCAATGCTTTTGAGACATTTTTTTACTATTATCAACTAATTATTCTCTAGCGTCTATAGGGAGAGGATCGTTTTGTTCACTTGCCCGTGGAAGGAAACGTCCCCGTTTACCACGTACCCACCTAAGATGCTATCCAAATATGCAGAGTAGCAGAGTTAGAAATCCGAGAAACAATAAGCAAATAACAAAAATTTCACACGAGGCCATCATTAAGTAAACCTCTTCTGATTAATAAGATGTTACCATATTTTGTCAGCAGTAACATTTTCAGTTGTCTTGCCATTCGCCAATTTGATCAATCACCAACAGAAAACCATCTAGTAAAATTAATTAAGGCAGTTGCAAGTTCATATATTGACGTACGTTTTCATTATTTAAGTCAATCGATAAGATCTTCTATTACAAAAAGACAGTCATATAATAAGCTTATTATTTCAATGACAACAATTTCAACATTCGAAGTTGATTAAAAATTAAAGTTTAACTTATTAAGTAATCAAAACTTTTTAAAAACAACTTTTAATAAAGGACTTAGCTATCTTGTTTTGGTATTATTCTACTATATTAATATTTCACGAATACTTGAATCGATTAATTGAATGGAATACGTGTATTCCCTTCAATCAATCGATTTAGCGCGGAAGGTTTCCCGTCACTAAATAGTTCTTGTGACGTCATGGTCTAGAATTCTAGATGTATGTCTGTGCGTATGACCAACTCCAGGTTTTTGTAAAGACAACGCACTGTTAATTCTTTGCAATATATATATATTTTTGTATTACTCGTACTACATACTCGGCGATGTATGTCATTATTTGCTCAATGTATTCGGACATTCGAGGCAACGTGTTGCAAAAATTATCGACATTACAGATACCTACTGGTAATAGATACTACAAAACTGAAAAAAAATCGAAACGTACAAAAGAGTTATAGAATATTATTATAACATTGCCAAAGTATTGTATTATAATTTTCGTCCCATTGTTTTCAAAATCGATTAGGCCAAAGAAATGTATAAGCGGCCGTATTACGAAACTGAATGCATTATACAAAAGTGCGTTCGTTCGATATTCATGGCGTATTAACAAAGGATTAAAAATATATCGCACCAAGTAACAGCCGCAATGTATTACAAACATGAAGCATACACTCGGTTGCATATTTGTTTTCTCGAATTTCATACAAAACCAAGTAATTGTTTTTAAAATAAATTATGCATCTTTTGATTAAAAAACCACTTGCCGGTGGAAGGAAAGGTCCCTGTTTACCCGTTTACCCACAGTTATGGAGCTTTTGCAGTTTATAATGGCACAATTATGCATTTTTCGCGTTTTCGACTAGTGTTTATCTACGGTCGAGCGCTTTCTGAAGTGTAGCAGCGGCTAAAGTCAATTTCTCTTACTCTGGGCACGCGAATTACGTACACTTGCGGCGTCTATCTAGATAGTCTGTGTTTGAGCCGGTCCGAAAAAGTTTTCAAAGGCGGCTTCACACGGCCCGTGACATCACGGGTCACGCCGGCCTGTACGGACGAGCTCGCGCCACAAAAACAGGTGAGCCAGCGCCGGCAGGGGTGATATTCTTGTCGTGGTTAATGTTCACTGATCCCACGGCGCCGACTCAACCGGCGAGAGGGAAACCCGGGGGGGTTTTAGTGGGGTAGGCCTTCCAGTGTGGAGGGAGAGTCCCCACATAGCCCCTGAGTCTCCCTGGGCTCAGTGGTATCCATAAAGATATACCCCCGTCAAAAAAAAAAAAAAAAAGGAGTGATATTCTTCCCATGACGCGTGGGCGCAATCTCGCGCGGCCTTATGAAGGCAGCATAATATAGAGGACAAGACACTGCGCGCTGCGCTTCCACACGGACCGTCGACGCAAAACGCACAACGTATTTATCGCTCGTATTACGTGAAGAATAGTTTATTTTTTAAAGTGACAGACGTAACATCAACTGTTCTTGACAGTCGTCTTCACAAAGTCACAAATTCTCCGCTTGCATAGTGAGATTCCGGTCGAAGTCGACAGGCGCCGGTGGTATAGGTGTCACTGTGTTGCACCGCTATGGGTTTCCACTCACCGATATTTTCGTGATTCAGCTTCCGCAAATGCTTGATGTTCGTCTCGCTTTTGTCGCGCAGTTTCTTCACCGCGACCATCTCTCCGCGCATATTTCCACTAAACACCACGCCTTGGGCGCCGGAGCCCAGGTACACCAAGTCCGTCAGCGATTCGAACGGCACCTCCCACTCATTCTCTGTTGAAATAATCGTAATATTAATTAACTAGAAATGCGACTGCTCTGCTCATTGACTTACAATTATATGGACGTCGGGTCCGCGCTAAAAAGTGTCCGAACTTATAGGGCGTTAAAATCGTATACACAGTGTCATTCACGCTTTAGTCTTCGTTTGTTCGACTGACTGCGAAGCAAGCAAAATTAGACAGTACTGCAATGACATTACAATTTAAATTCAACGTTTTAGCTTTTTCATATTCCTTTACATGTCATTACGTTTAAATAGGTTGACTTGGGACATTTTGTTCGTGGTTTTTGTATTAGACCCGTCGTCCATTTATTTGTAAGTCAATGGCTCTGCTGCAAACTTTTTAGCTTAGAGTCAGTATAACAGAATTAAACGAGCAACATTTTCTTGGTGAGACCCTAGTTAAAGACTTCCATTTTGTAGCAGTAGAGCTTCTTGTGAAAGAGTCCGCCCAGGGAATTACTTATCTATTTCCGCCGCCAAGCAGTAATGTGAGCATTACTGCGTTCCGGTTTTGAAAGGTAAGGGTGCTAGTGAAATTACAGGCACATAGGACTTGTCAACTTATGTCGGATTGGAACTTTGCGATTAAAAGCTCTGAATTGCACTGCAACTGTTATGGAGAGGAGTGTAGCTTACCCCCAGGCACAAGACCTGTTCGTCCCGTCACTTGATATAATAAAAAAAGAAGACTCGTTTCAATTGCAGGATCGGTCTACATTAGAATCTTACTAAAGTCGAGCGTCTTTACTAATAAATATCACATGAGTGCAATTTCTCAACGATTACAATTGTGTAGTTTTAAAAAAATCGGCTTCAATCTCCACAAGGCACTTAAGTTACGTACACTTCCAAGTCGCTCATGATTATTGTCTATTAATAAGCGAGAGCTTGAAATGCATCTCGTGATCCGAGTAACTGTACTTAGGGGCTATTAATAATGCAAGAGAACAGACTTAGTTTCTTTTAGCACCCAGTCGCACGAGGAGAAAGTTTTCGCGCGGCCGCCGCGCGGCGCTCGCCCAGATGCCGCGCCTTCATGTACATTAATGGCGAATCTGAATTCTATTTACTAGGCAACAACATTTACAATCCTCTGAATAATACAACCGCGCGGTCGCCGCCTAGAAAGAACTCAAGACAGGCTCACTCGCGTGTCCGGGACACTCATTTAAGTTCAAACGAAAAAGCCGAATAAATAGAGCGAATTTTGCTATGACAGTTAAGACGCATGCGCACTCAGCTCGGCGGCGGCGATTCGTGTCGCATAAATGCGCTCTTAAAGTTTACTTTTCTCGAACATGCCCGGAAATGTTTGTATTTAGTTTCAAAAAACGAACACGGAAAGTTTGTCATTTATGGACCGTGCAACTTCTTTTCGGTCAAGGTCTGCAAAGTATGAAAAGCCATTACTGTGCACTGCTCTAAACTTTTAAATCTATCTACTGACAAATGTTCTAACAATGAACTAAACGGGCAAAAGAAATACTCATACACCCAACTGCCAAGTGTTCGTGATTGCGAGAATTAATAATACTTAAATGCACTGGTAATTTAAATTTAAAAAAAATTAAATGTATTATTACATGTCCTGTCAATAAAAAGCAAAACAAAAAACAATGAAATCACACAAATATCAGCTAATTCAAATCCTTAGAATAATAACGCATAGAAACCTGGTCCGCTCACACTGAGGCAAATTGAAGCGCGCCCAAACGGCCTACACGAGCGGGCGGGCCTTCAGTGCTCAAGGTCAACTTGCACCGCGAACAGATCAAGAATTTTAGCTAAAAATGACGAATTGTGCGGTAAATGAGTGTAAAAATACGTCAGACAAACATAAAATAGATACTAACATCACATTCCACAAGGAAGTAACGCGTTTCAACTTGTATTTTTATATAAATATTCACTAAAACCGAAAATTAACCTACTACTAAAACTAGCTACATGAATTTGATTTTTGCCTCACTTGTGACAGTTCGTTTGATATGAAACTATCATTCTATGCGTTAGTATTCTAAGATCAAAACGTAATTCGCTATGGTTCATCGTGCTCAATTAAGTGGAATAGTTCAATCGACCCTTATTTCCCTAAAACCAAAGCTTAAAAAAAAAGAAAGTTTGTAAAAGCGAATTTCCATATTCATAGTACGTAAAGATATCATAGAGATTGTACACGTTCGAGAGATCATTGTGAATACTCGTGTAAGCACGAAAGCAATTTTAAACAGTAAAAGTACTTGCCTCGTGTTTACCCGAAGTTAACATTTTGCCTTCATATGCAAAACTCGTGGAAACCCAATAAACAAACTTTATAAGGTTGTGCAATAAAGTCGTTTTTTGCAATTGAAAGAGCCTGGAGAGGGCGAAAGGAGTTGGGGGGGCTAAAAACGCGGTTAAGTGACAAATGGTCACATATCCGTTTTAAATAGCAAATAATCTCAGTACAGAGTACTAAAAAAATCGACCTCAAAAGTACGTGGAATTACGTCTATTTGCTAAGTTTTATTGAAATATCCCCTAGTTCGTCACTATACAGGACTTGACACTGGAGATAATAAAAATCGGTTCTCACTACTCAAAGTATATTGAGAGAAGAACGCCTTGAATTGGAGAAATAGCAAAATCAACCATTAAAGTAATTGCTTCTAAATTAATGTTAGGCGCTATTTATGAAAATGAATCTTCATGCGTGAAGTCGGTTAAACATAGAGCACAACATTCTCTTTTTAAAATAGTGTTCGACTTATCGGCACTAACCCTAATACTGCATAGCTGAAATATCATTCGTTTCTTTCATAACAAATTCGCTTTTAGCAATTCATATTGATAAAGTTTACATTCGCTCGCAATCTCATCTCAGTTCGTGGAAATGAGTGTAGCTCGAGGCCGAATTATTGGAGGTCCTGGAATTCTATTGATAGACCGATCAATAGTGCACCCTGCGATCCGCGCATGCACTCTGGCGCCCCGGGCACGCGTCACGTTGTCCTCGAGACCCGTTTAACTTGTTGCTTTAACTTCATTACGAGTTGTAAATTGTTTCTATTTTGACTTTAAAACTCGTATCGACTGTATAACTTGCTTATCATAAGGAATTTTTCCTTATGATAGCAAGTTACACTATTTATACAAATAACCATTCACCTTTTATCATTTATTAGACAACTACACCAATCGCCTGGTCTAGCTTCACTCTGGGGCATTTAGCACTAAACCAGAAGAGTTCATTTTTCAAATTAGTACTACGAGGGATCGAACCCGGGACTTCCCCATCCAGTGGGCACACCGTGAGCACACCGTTGGGCGTCAGAGGGTGTAAAAAATAATTAAGGTTATATTGAGAACCTTGCCCAGCAGTGAGACGTTTATGGGTTGATATTCAGCACAGCACTTAGTAAATTCGAGAACAATATAATAATAATAACACACTCAACATAGCTAGGGAAACCCTGTGTCGCACGTGCCATGGACCCACGCATAGAAACCACAAATTACACCGAAACTCGCGAGAAAAATAAATGTAGGCCATACAAATATTTCTCCTGGCCCGGGAATCGAACCTGCGACCTCTGCTTGCCAATTCGCCAGGCTCTGGCCCAAGTTGGGGACTTCGCAAAGGTTGCGAAACCTACTTAGCCGCCGTTAGCTATATTGCAAAAAATTCACAAATTTACGTAACGTACAAATTAAACCATCATTCTACAAGCAACCGTGGGCTACCACCGCATGTGGTAAAGTTATATTCCAAAAGCTTCGTAAATTTGTATCATTAGGAAAATTTATTATTACACGACAAGAATTACATCATATGCACTTTCAATAAAACGTTAGTCCAAACATAAGCCATTGCAATGGAAATAAAACTTCCGCAATTACAATATAACAATTTCGCAATGCAATTATGAATTGTTACGCACAGTAAAAACGAAGAGAAGCTATTGGTCTGTGAAAGATCTTATGAGGGGTACTGTCCCAATATCTCTCAAAAAGAAGTTGATGGACACGTGCATCCTGCCCATACTAACTTATGGCGCGCAGACTTGGTCACTTACAAAGATCCACTCGAGGTCTGTCAACGAGCGATAGAGCGCAGCATACTTGGTGTGAAACAGACCAACCGAATTCGGAACACGACACTGCGTTCCCATTACTGACGTAGCCCAAAAAGCAGCGAAGATGAACTGGAGTTGGGCTGGTTATGTCTGCCGCATGCCTGAAGACCTGTGAGCCAAGGTAACCACCCTGTGGAGCCCCAAAAGCGTTAGCCGCCGCAGCAGACCGAAGAAGCGATGGCGTGACGAACTGGACGCCAACGATAAGGCTTGAGTCCAGTTAGCTCAAGATCGGGATGCCTGGAGGGAGCCTTTGCGCAGCAGTGGGATACATCAGGCTAATTGTAATTGATATCTTCAAAGAAACTTATGTGGCACTACAATAACAGTGCTTGAAAGCAGTACCGCATAAAGTGCAGCACCTGTATAGCGCCCATAAAGATCACAAGAAGTAACATTTTATATAAAAACAAGGGTTGTTGCTGTTTCAGGTTTTTTACACATCAGCTGATGCTGATATGGATGCTGGCTTCAATAGTTTTAATTTCCTCTCGTTGGGCCATGTGGTACACTTGTAGAGAGTGCCTATTAAAGGCGCCCTTGAGGTTGGATATATGCTTCAATGTCCTGTAAAAGCCGTGGGCAGCATTCAGATGCTATTCTTGCTCAGTGCTACAGCTTCTCTACAAGTTTAGTACAGTCGGAATCAACTGAGGGTTCACGTCCAGTGGCCTGCAGTCAAATATCTCGGGAGGCATATGTAGTAGTAGTTCTGAAGGTCGAGCTATGCCAGGCTTTATGGGATCCTGGCCTGATAGTAGCCTTCTCCAGTGCATCTGATCCATCATAGCCTTTGTTCTCAGAGTGACAGTGTTGCATGTAGTCAGTGTGGGACGACTTTGGTCCTCTCCCAAACAGTGTTTACAATAGTCACACAGTTCTTATTGTAAGAGGGTGGATTGAAAAGCTTGCAGCTGTGATTATTATATTTTTTCTTACTAGCCTCAAATAATTGATATATTATTCATTGGATGTAGCAGTGCAACATTTTATTGGTGTAGCATTTTTGATTATGAAATTAGAGCGAGTCCAACGAGACCAAGTGCAGCGATTTAAAATATAGCAAAAAATGGACACAAGTTGTGTGACTGATGGTAAGTGACATAGGTATGTGGACAGGTGTCCAAAGCAGTTGCAGTGTCTCTCAGAGATTTATATCGCACAGATCTGAAGAGCACTGCCACTACGCCTGTCACCCTGAGACATGAGTTGACAAGTCTCATGTGCCTGTAATTTCACACATTACCCTTCAAAACCCCTGTTTTGAAGGGTAATGTAATGTCCGACATTCATATGAATCAATTACTGTCAAATAAGTAATACTTGACTAAATTAAATTACAATGTCAAGTATGAAGCTTCATTCTCATCATGCGTTGTTCAATTAGGTCAAGTTTACTTATTTGACAGTAATTGTTTCAGATGGATGTCGGATGGAGAATAAGAGTACAGGGCCTGGAACAGAGTCAAGCTCATTACTGCTTGGCGACAGAAATAGGTAAGTTGGCAGTACTTCCCATGATGAACTTTACTAGACTCTTTCACAAGGAGCTGAAACGAAAAGGATCTCCATCATATATGACTATACAAAATTAATTGCAAAATTCAATAGTGGAGGAGAAACCGTTGAAGAAGATCCAAGGTCTAGCTGACGCACAGCATCACGACTGATGAAAACACTGGAAAGTGAGTGATCTCATTATGGAAGTCAGTAGATTGACTATCAAGGAGATTGCATTGTGCATGATTGACTCTCATTAGAACGCACATAAATTATAACTGTCAATGAACTTGGATTTTACAAGGTTTCTTCTAGGTGGCTCCCCAGTTTGCTTTCAGTGAACCAAAAGCATATTCGTCTCACAATGTCTTGCAACTGTTTGGAGATGTTTGAGGCTGATACACAATTTTTTTTTTTAATTTATGACAATGGATTACTCTTCAGTACACCATCATTATTATTAGGGTGGCTTCATTGAGGGCCTATGCATCCCCTCATCACTGCGGCCATTGACTGATTATTGTGATCACCACTAATTACAGTGCAGAGCCAAAGCCAACAGCATTGAAGAACTGAAGGACTTTCCTGGCAGATTTAATGTTTCCGGTTGTGGCATGTGCCTTCCCAGTACGGAACTACACCATTATACACCAGTGTCCAAACCACAAGATTGAAGCAGTGAAAAAAATCTGATGAACCGACCCCAAACTTTTTGTCAGCTGACAAGGTGGTGGTGTCAGCTTTTTGGGATGCTAAGGGTGTCATCATGGTGGTTTACATTGGAGAATGGCAAAATCATTAACTCAGCACACTATAGCATCCCTTTGTAACATTTGTGCAAAAAAATTAAAGAGAAACACTCAGGATTGCTCAGGACAAAAGTATTGATTCACCAGGATAATGCATTTTGTGAAGTTTATGTAGCTTACATTTCTTATTGTGGTATCGAATTACTGCACCACCTGGCTTATTCTCGTGGTTTAGCACCTTCGGACTTTCATCTGTTCCGAAACCTAAAAAACACCACAATAGACAGAATTTTCATCGAACGGAGATGTTGAAGCAGTATTACATCATTTTGAAGACCTTGAAGAATCTTTTTTTAAACTGGTGCAGAAGCTTTGAAAAGCAGGTGGAACAAATGCATAGAGCTAGATGGAGATCACGTTGCAAAATAAAAATACTTTTGTAACTATTTGTTTCCTTGGTTAGACTGCGAACTATTATATCCAACCTCATATGTCACTCAGGCCAGACCATTTAGTGCTGCTTGGCCTAATACACACCCGTAGTGTGTAATACACACCCTAACTTAGGGTCAAGACAAATTTAATGAAATTCATCACTCAAGCCCTAATCATTTAAATAAATAAATCATTTTTTCAGTCCACCAAAGTTTAATAACAACGTCGAACTCGACGTCAGATAGTGTCAAGTTGAGTCCAGAATTTCCTTCGACGAAATCACGCAGGTTCTTGATATCCTAAAAATGTGATAATCAATCTGCAGGGTTGCAGTGCTCCGCAGGGCGGGCGACCTCGATGCAAGCTATCACCTGCCACTAAATTAAGTACATAAAACGATTCTACAACATGTACCAACCTTTAGCAGATTTTAGCTCCGAACGCCCAAATACGGAGAACACCGTAGAAAAACAATCCATCATACCGCCCATCCAAAACATATTTTTTTTCTCATCACTCAATGCAGGTCGAACACAATGCATGTCCTTCGGAGCATCATGTTCTTGCACGTTACACTCCATCTTGTCAGCGTTAAAGTTATTATTTTTCACTCGTTTTATGAAAAGATTTTCTAATGTCCGTAATTCAAAACATTTCAATTTTATAAATGTGATAGCAATCCAGGAATAATAAACTATCACGCACGCACGTCCACTGCGTGACCGAAATGAACCGGAGACTATATCTTTCTAATTTGTGGCCCGGAGTGACGACGACGACGCGCGATTACTTTTATTTTGTCTATGGACGACGCACACCACAGAGTAGATTTGACACATGCGACCTAGAATGGTAACTTGATGTACAGTAACATGTCGTTGGTCCCGATGAATAGGGTATTATCTCAAAAGCATCGATTTTTCAGGTGAGCAAAGGTTCTTTCTTATTGAAATTATGTATATTTTTACGGGCATATAAAATATTTGAATAAATGTACTGTGATGCCACAGTCATGATACCAGTCTCCTTAAACTTTTCTCTGAGAGAAACCCGAGAGCCTAGACGGTACACATCTCGATTTGCAATACAACTATGGTTTGAATATCTGCCACTTTACCCCACATGAGAATACCGTAGGACATTATACTATGGAAGTAACTAAATTAAGCTAGTCTAGAAGTACTAACATCGGTAAGCTCACGTATTCTGCGGACTGCGTATGCAACGGAGCTTAATCTGCTGGCCAGGGAAGATATATGTGGAAACCATTGAAGTTTACTATCTAAGGTCACTCCCAAGAAGACTGCTTTATTAACAAGGTCTAACTTTTCTCCGTTTATTTCTATGCTTGAACTAGTCGATTTTACGTTAGGTAATTCAAATTTAACATATTTTGTCTTCTTGGCATCAAGCAATAAATTGTTAGCATTAAACCAATAAACTATCTTAGAGAGGGTATCATTAATATGGTCATAGTTAATGTCATGTCTGTCTGTTTTAAAAATCAAGGATGTGTCATCAGCAAACAACACTATTTCGCAATGGTCCTTAACAAAGAATAGCAGATCATTAATATGCTAATTAAACTCTACTGCTCATTTGTAAGGCAGATTCTTCTGAGACGAATGAGCCAGAAACTCCAGGGGTTGCTCTTTGTAAATATGCAGGTGTCCTCATCTAATTTCGTGATAAAACATAATTGTGTAATGAAATAACTGACTGTTTGAAGAAAAAAAAAATCAAATTTTTATTAGGATTGTTAATCTGATGATATAAATATTATTTTCGACAAATATTTCTTGGGTGAATACACACTGTCCGTGATACATTAATTGCCTAATTACGTTACCACGAAATTATACAAGTTTTTTATTTTTTTTCGTCTTTATAAACATTGTCGTTAAGAGTTGTCCAAAAAATACCGATTCTTTTGATGCTCTGTAGAGAGTGTAGGGTGTACATAAAACCTTCAATTTGTACTCTGATCGCGATATCCGTTGCACCTACTGCTTTAACGTTTATTATTGTCGCATTCGCATCACGCGATCTGAATTGACTAAGATACACGTGCAGTTTTATTCCACTCTGATCATATAAATGGCTTATAAATAGAATATGCCAGTAAAATGCCCTATTTTCGCAAAAATGAACGCAAATAACAGAATTATAATTATAATAATTTGCTTAGTGCATCGCGAAATAATTTTGTTATTTGCGTATATATTTTGTAAACTACAATAAGACTATGTTTGAAGTGGAATTGTAGTTCTTTTTTCAAATGTTGGACTTTCAATGCTTGGTACTACTCATGTGTTCTAGTACCAGCAATTGTGAAAGACTAAATTGTATGGACCGAAATGGTGGGAAGATTAAAACGAGAAACTTAATAGTTATCGTTTTGTGAAAATTTGACTTGTAAACATTGACTCACAAATAAATGGACGACGGGTCTAATACAAAAACCACGAAAAAAAAGTCCCAAGTCAACCTATTTAAACGTAGTGACATGTAAAGGAATATGAAAAAGCTAAAACGTTGAATTTAAATTGTAACGTCATCGCAGTACTGTCTAATTTTGCTTGCTTCGCTGTCAGTCGAACAAACGAAGACTAAAGCGTGAATGACGCTCTGTATACGATTTTAACGCCCTATAAGTTCGGACACTTTTTAGCGCGGACCCGACGTCCATATAATTGTAAGGCAATGCTGGTAAATTATATTTATAACCCATTTGTATGATCAAAGTGGAATAAAACTGCACGCGTATCTTAGTCTATTCAGATCCCGCGATCAGATGCGACAAAAATAAACGTTATACTTATAATTTAATGGGTCCAACTGGTTGCCTATACCGACAAGAGCACATGTACAGCTTGACACTTTGGACCGTTCTTATCGTAGCGGCATAGAGTTGGATTTGTGACGGTGTGACCTCCTTACACCGTCATCCCACCTTTTTATATCGCCTCTCTCCATTCGTATCGTATCGTTTTTTCTTCTTCTACTCATATTTAAATTTGAATTGTTCCATCTTCCTTCGCTTTCTCATTTTTGCTTCGTACTACGGTCACTCTCTGCGTGACCGCGATAGCGGACAGAACTACTAAATCAAATTGTCTAAATTTTTATTCTTTTCAAGTTTAATCATAATATTAGGGGTTAAAGTATGAAATTGCCGTTTTATTGCAATAGGTTCTTTGAATTTTCATAGAATCTTCATGGTTTGAGGTTTTCGAATGAAACTTTTCTCAAATGGTTTCTGTGATTATTATTTTTTTTTAAATTTGAAACATTTGAATATCGACTTTCAATTGTTTTTGTTATTCAATTTAGACAAGAAAGATGGATACTGCGAAAATTGGAGTGATTTTTGAATACGAGTTCCGACGCGGAACTAACGCGGCAGAAACAGCCCGCAATATCAATGCTGCGTTTGGAGAGGGGTCTACTAATGAATGCACCGTGCGATTTTGGTTTAAACGCTTTCGTGATGGAAATTTCGACTTAAAGAACGAGCCACGAGGAAGACCGCCCACACAGGTGAATAACGATGAATTAAGAGAGATAGTGGAAGCCGATCCTAGTAAAACTACCCAGGAATTAGCGGCATGGTTTAACGTTACCTTACCCACAATATTGACTCACTTGCGTCAAATCAATAAAATAAAAAAATACGAAAAATGGGTGCCTCATGATTTGACTGATCTGCAGAAAGAAACGCGTGTTGAAACTTGTGTTGCCTTGTTGAACCGGTACAGAAATGAAGGAATATTGGATCGAATTGTAACATGTGATGAAAAGTGGATTCTATATGATAACCGGAAAAGAAAAATGCAATGGCTGACCCCAGGTCAAATGCCACAACAGTGTCCTAAAGCAAAACTTACCAATAAAAAGGTAATGGTAACTGTTTGGTGGTCTCAGCATGGTGTTATTCACTATAGTTTTCTCCGATCTGGTCAAGCAATAACGGCAGATGTCTATTGTGCCGAACTCCGAACCACGTTGACAAAACTAGCAGTAAAACAGCCCCGACTCATGAATCGATCTTCACCATTATTGCTCCACGACAACGCGAGACCTCACACAGCACGAGAAACCATTTTGACCCTTCAGGAACTGCAGTTAGAAACCATTCGTCATCCTCCGTATTCACCAGACCTTGCTCCAACGGACTACCATTTTTTTCGTGATTTGGACAATTATCTACGTGACAAGAAGTTTTCTTCCCAGGAGGCAGTACAAAATGCTTTCACACAGTTTGTGCAGTCTAGATCGTCGGAGTTCTATCGCAAAGGCATTAATAACCTTCCCATTAGATGGCAGCAATGTATAGATAATAATGGCAACTATTTTGATTAAATAAATTTGTTAAAAATTTAAAAAATAAACAATTTAGATTTTCAGTACAAATCGCAATTTCATACTTTAACCCCTATTACAATCAATGTAAATCATGTATCGACCATAATGAGCGAATAAGAGTCTATCCAATATGTGTAATTCAACATAATACAACCCGATAAGGGTTTTTTTTTTTTACTTTACCTTTTACTTCACGTTAAATAAATTTGTGGAAGTTTCCTGTTTTACTCCCGTGATCCTGACCACAGATTTAAGTATTAAACGTGTCAAGCTTGACGTCTTTTGACCCTGTACAGTACTTTTATTTTGTATAAGTGATTATTCAAATTATTTTAGTTTTTTGACGAATTAAAATAATTTAATAAACTCAATCAGTTATCATTTATTTGTAAGTCAATGGTTATCATTGTCAATTTAATGTCTACAATAATAAGAATTAAATATAACAACGGACTTATATTACATAAATCGCGTGGTTGAAAGTGACATATCTTTTTTTTTCATCGAACGAAAAAGTTAGGTGCACTACAGTTCGTCGTCAAGTTCGAATTTCAAAAACCTTTTCCACTCAAGCGTGCCTAAAACGCTTTTGCGCGCAGATTTCTCATGAGAAACAAAGCCTTTCCGAGCTAGTTAGGTGAAAATGTTTATCTTCGCTGTTGTCTAATGATTTGAAATTTCGATACGTTTTTATTTTATAATTCACGCTAAATGAAACGTCAAAAGATATTTCCAGACGAAGAACATAATTTGATCCTTCCAAGTCAGCCTTCCAATTATAATTTTAAGTATTTTTCCAATATTTTTCAATTGAAATTTTCCGAAACTTACCCAACAAGTTATACATCGATGCAGACCCTTTAGAACATTTAAATATCCAAACGTTGACTTTACTTTTTATTAAGAAAATAAACATTTAGTTTGTGATTAAAAACCCCATACTACACTCATCTAATCGGGAAAAATATCTTCGTCAACACACCTATTGAATGCAACTGCTAAATTAATTATAATTACAGAGTCGATATGCCTCAGAGATTTTCCGTTTTTTTTATTAAGTATGGATTTAAAAGCTTTGATGATATCTCATGGATTAACATGACGAAATTTAAATACACTGCCACAAACATCAGTCATATTCTTTAGGAGATCAATAGCAAGAGAAGAAGAATTTAATGATTCTGTAGTATTCATAGTGACATTTGAAAGCTCGGAC